AGCTATTGGTATAATGATCGTGGTTGCTATTGTCAACCCATACCTCATAATACCCGGTATATTTCTATTTGCACTAACAATAATCATCAGGGGTATTTACATCAAGAGTGCCCGGGACATAAAGCGTTTGGAGGGCTTAAGTATGATGATACTGTAAATAAATTAACCAATGTAAAAATTTTAACAAAATTTACATTCATTTTCATAGCCCGTAGTCCAGTCTATTCACACGTCAGCACTACCCTTAACGGGTTGGCCAGTATCAGGGCATACGGGGCTCAGCAGGCTTTCCGGGATCAGTATTACACCTACCAGAATGACCATAGTGCCACGTGGTTTGTATTTTTGGGAGCATCCAGGACACTGGGACTATTAGCTGATTGGTTATGTGTGGCATACCTGGCCGCTATTGCTGCCGTACTCATGGCCTATCAACATGGTCAGTTGTTTATTTAATATTAAAATAGAAATTTAATTATGTATTAATATAATTTTCAGGTATAACTAGTGGTAGCGCAGGTTTGGCATTTGCATCAGGTATGCTTTTAAATATTAAAATATTTGTATTCATATTTATTTTAATATACATTTATTATTAATTACATTTATTAGTAAATTATATTAGCTCTAACTATTAAATATAAAAATAAATTAAAAATATTTCAAAATGAAGTAGTTTGTCGAAATAAAAAATAATTAAGTTTTCTAAAAGTATCTCAAAAATATTCATTTAATAATTACAGTTTTGTTTACTTTTATTTAATCATTACTAGCATTTATATATTTGTATTAGTTTAATTATGAAATAAAAGATACTGTAGAGCATGATTAGTAAAATAGAATTAAAATTATTAAAATTAAATTAGAATAGTAAGATACTTGCATTCATATAAAAAATAAATTCAATATATTGCAACAATCGCATAATATCCACATAAAAAATAGATTTTTTAAAAAGTCTAAAATTATGTTTTTAAATTATTACAGTTTTATAAACTTTTATTAAATCATTAATAAAAGCATTATTATACAAGTCTTACATAAGTTTAATTATTAAACAAAATATATATTACTAGGCTAATTTTAAATAATAAATTAAATGTATAATATAATTATTAACTTGAAGAAATTTAAGCTGACCTTAATTCATTTCTTATTGATATATCAAAATATGCTTTTAATTTATATTAAATATTTACAGTACTTTCTAAATAAGCATAAAATACTTATAAATACTTAATTGTATAATATTTAATAATCTTCACATTCATCTAATCATATCACACTTCCATGTCTACCCCTAACCTACCAGCCCTTATGCTCACCGGTCAGACCCAGTTTGGTGTCCGACAGTCGGCAGAACTGGAGTCCCAAATGACATCAGTCGAGCGT